TAGAACTTTCGTCCTTCTTTTTCACCAAGAGAATTGGTGCTTCCCAAGGTGATACACTCGGCCTAATCATCTATTTCCGTATTAGATCCTCAATATGCTCCTTAAGCTTCATCAACTCTTTTGGCGCCATTCTATAAGGTACTACAGACACTGGCTCAGCTCCAGGAATCAAATTTATAGCAAACTCCATCTCTCTACGTGGAGGTATTCCAAGACTATCCTCTGGAAAAATCTCAGAGAATTCCTGTACTATTGGTATTGATTGAAGACTTTGCTCAATTTCTGCATTCATAACGTCCAACAAAACAAAACAAGATACTCCCTTACCCAAGGATGTTTCTACTTTGTGAGTAGAAATCAATTCAACACAGCCTTACTACTCTGGAAAGATTAAACACCTCAGGTCACAATCAATTAGCACACGATTGGCAGTTAGCCAATCCATACCCAGGATTACATCTAACCCTGACATCGGAATACAAATAAAATTTACTTTGTACCTTCGTCCCTCAATTACTATGGAACACTAACACAAACTGTCAAAGTCTTGATCAAACTCAGAGTAAGTGTTGATACTACCAATTCACATCCTAGATCACTCACCGGTAACCCTAAGTTTCTCACACAAATGTCTGCAATAAAAGAGTGTGTAGCTCCAGAATCAAACAATACGAAAGAAAAGTACATTCCACTACCGCTGTCCCCTGAACAAGATTCGTCGCTTGGGCTGCCTTTGATTCAGAAGTAGTGAATACCCAGAAAACTACTTCTAAATACAGTCTAAGTGATGACTTCACCTCGGGCCTCCAGCATAGCACGAGCTCCGTGCCACCACATCTTTCCGTCCCCTGTCAGCATATACGTAGCATATAACACCTTCCTCTCCTCGGCGCAACCCATGGTTAGGAAGATCTTCTCAATCTCCTTGATCCAGGGTTTAACAGCATCTGGTCTATCCACCATCATGAATTGAAGAGGATCGTTCTTCCTAAACTCTGACAACCCTTAGTATTCAAGAGGAGGTGCAACTGAGGCAGTAGCTGTTGCTGCCTGTGCTACAGCAGCGGCTTAGTTTGCAACTTGCTGCTGCTGCTGAATCATATCTAGACTCTGCCTCACAGTGGTTGCCATGGCCTCTATGGCGTGAGCCATTTGGTTCACGTCAGCATGAGGAGGGTTTGCAACAGATCTTCTCGGTCTAGCCATCCTAATATATAGACTACCTTAGATTATTAACGTTTAACACATTCAACAATACCACCACATAGCTATATTCACAAATTCAGCTTACAATGATATATTCATATTTAGTATATGATAACAATTTAATCAATTTAGCACTGAGTATAACATCATATCAACATTCATACAGTATAGCAAACACACTTATCTTAGCAATCATTTACAACTTAGCTTAACAGCCTCTTATTCATGCAGTATGTAACGTCCTGATTTTCGTAAATTAGCTAGCGACTCTTGAATCGTAATTGCTTACTAATTCTGACTTTCTAGTATCACAATAATTAGATAGATGCTGATTTTTATTTTTATAGAATATTGATTGATTTCTGAGTTTGGCATTTTAGAGTAACTGCATGCAATATATTTGGTTTCAATATCATCCAAAAATTTCTCTGATTATGTTCAGCTGTACTGTCTAAGATACCCCTGATAATCTTATCCAAAAAATTAATTTTTGTCTTATTTAAATAATTGTCAAATCATAATTATTCGCTTAAAAAAATGTGAGATTTAGTAATCATTGCATTAGATTTTTAATCATTTCTTAGCCGTCAAAATTATTGCACGGAATCTCACGAAATCTAGTAATCATTACTTCGAAGATTTCCAAATCTAGTATCAGCCACTAGAAAGAGAAGAAGAGAAAGAACGTCGAAGAGCCATTTTCAATTGATCTATAATTTGATTCCTCTAGGTTGGAGCTCAAAGTTTGTCCCCAATCTCTCTCTCGGACTATCTCCATACCAAGGAACAAGGTGAAAACAAAAAATGAACAAAAGATCTTAAAATCTGAGTGTTTATGCAATTTATAGATTTTTCTGCCTCTGCGCGTTATCACTTTGCTTCACAAAAGTAGTCACGCAGAGGCTTATATGGTGTTCTGGAAGACTGGAACGATCACTTTCATTCATAAAAGTGGCAATGCTGGAGGTCAAGTTATGCGTGTGCTCACTTTCATGAGGAAAAGTGGCCACGTGCAACTTGCAAAGTTAAAGGTCTCTCTAAAACCCTCACTTTCGCCAGTAAAAGTGGTAACGCGCAACTCTGCTAAGTTTGAAGTCCTCTAGAATGCTCACTTTCACCAGCGAAAGTGATATCGCACATCATGCAATGTTTGAAACTTCTTTGGAACGCTCACTTTCACCAGCGAAAGTGACAACGCGCTCTTTGCTAAATCTGAAGTCTCTCGAGAACGCTCACTTTCACCAGTAAAAATGGTAACGCACATATTTCACTTATCATTTAATCTTTCGATCATTCACTTTCACTGACAATAGTGATCACGCCCAGCCCAAACTCCATAAACCTTGTCTTTTAAGTCCAAACTTGCTATTTTTCTTCTATCTTTCCATTGATCTTCCATCTTCATGAGCTTGGCTCAGAATTTTCTACAAAAACATGCTTGAATTATTTATTTTTACACAGAAAATTTACAAATGCTAAAATAACTATTATTTAAGGAAAACCTTCAATTATTCTATTTTTATAAGTTTTTCTACTTTTTCCAACATATTTTCCTTATCAAATGGATTAAATCTATAGTAAAATACTAGTAAAAATATGGATTCATCAGAAATCTTAGCTTATGCTTGAAGGGGAAGATGAGACATTACAAGAGGCATAGGAAAGGTTTAAGGAACTCATGTGAAGTTGTCCATATCATGAATTTGTTTGTATGGTACAATAACCCTTATTAAAGAATTTGTTTATCATGAATTACAAATAGATTAAACATTCATATCAAGTATTTTCAAATTAAGTTATTCTTAAAGTTAACTTGAGCCTATAAATACAAATCAACATCTTTGCATTAGATGGTTGCAATTTACCAGCACATTATCATTCTTTTTTCAAATTTGCTTGTTTAGCATGTCATTGTCCCAATATTTAACTAGTGAACACTCTTTGTTCAATGAGGTAATGCTAAGTGATGGTAGGAAAATATAAATTTTGTAGCAATACTAAAATTAAAATTTAAAACACAATAGAAAGGAAACCTTAGCCAACGAGAGCTAAGTACTTACAAAATAACTACACAATAAGTTATTGCCAAACTATAGCAAATAAGCTATAGTATCTTGAGCAAGAAAATACAACCTCCTATCCTTACCATTTTACTTTTGTAATGTTTGCCTTACAAGTCACTTGAAAACAAATAAGCTTCAATTGTACTTTTCTACATTTTGTATATCAACAATGGATCCCAACAATTTTGCATAGGAACTACCTTTAAGGTTGGGCGCAAGAAACATGACAAGACACAAGATAAATGTTCTTCTAAGTTGGTCATGGACTTTTCCTTGGCTAATAATCTAGCTTAGCCTGACATTTGTTATTTCATTGAATCTCAACGTTGCCCTTTGATCCGATATGGCATATTTTAGAATGTCTAATCCTATTTTGTTTGAAAATTTTAGAATTTTTACATGCAAAGAAAAAATTGATTGACAACTAATGCTTAATAATATTAATAAAAACTATGAATAAAGTGAAATCATAACATGAGATAGAAATATTTTTTATAGAAACATTTTTTCATATTTGACAAATATATTAATGGGTCTTACACTAATTAACTTGTGCAACGTAGTCCAAGTCTGAGCAATGTGGACAATTGAAATACTATCATGTGGTAGGTCAAACACTTTGCCTACATCACGATAGTTGAGTTAAATCTCCTCTTCCTTAGCATATATGCAAACTAAACGTACATAAAAACACTCTGTGAGATTTCTAGATAGTGACACTACTATTTTCATCATTATAGTCATGTTCATCTATATGAAACATATTTTGATTGAATATGTTAGTATTTAATTAGTGATCAAGAGTTTTAGTGACAAACAATGGAGTTCAACCTTCATCATAAGAACATGACTATGAGCTTGAAAGAGGGAGAACATGTACGACTTTTAGAGAATAAGTTTAGGAAAAATAAAATATTTTTTAGTTAATTAGAGAGAATCTAAATTTGATAAGCTAGAGAGTAGATCTGATTTGAGGAGAAGAAGCAAATAGATCTTAAAGATTAAGAAAAAAACAAGTAATGAAAAATATAAAATAAAATATTAAATTTTACTGTAGTGTTTTTTTTACTTCAATGTATGTGTAATGTTAATATATATATATATATATATATATATATATATATATATATATAGGCATAATCTTCTTATATTAGTGTACGTCTAAAAATTCTTACACTTAATCTGAATTTTTTATTTAACTTACATTAAATAGGTTATAATTTATTACTTCATTAACCATTAAATATAAATTAAATAAAAAGTTCAGATTAAGTATAAAAGAGCTTTTAGACTTATTCTAGTGTAAGAAGATCTTTATTTATATATATATATATATATATATATATAATTATTCGTATATAAATACTTAAATTTAACTTTAAAATAATATTATTATTTTTTCTTAAAAAAAACTGTCCTAAAATAACATTATTATATTTTCTTAAGAGAAGCTGTCCTGCTAGTCTATTGACTGACTACTAAATTAGAAAATTTAGCATACTTTTAAAATATATAAGTAGACCGACCTACCTTTATTGAACTTGTCTCACTTTTATCGCCCCTAGTTCTAAGCGCAAAGAGAAAGATAAAATATAGACGCAAGAGAAAATTAAATATTAAAATATTAAAAAAAACAATCACACGATGCTGACATTAAATCCAACGGCCACCGTTGACCAACGTGTCATGGACAAGTTGCCACAAATAATAGATACTTGATTACCAAAGCGGTGTTCAGTTCACTCATCTTCAATCTTCAAGAGAGAAATCATCGTAATCATGGGCGTCGTAATAATCGATGGAACCACGGTGCGTGACTTCGTAAGCAACGAGGAGTCGTTCACGAAGAGCGTCGACGAGCAGTTCGCGGCTTTGGATCTCAACAACGACGGCGTTTTGTCGCGTTCAGAGCTACGAACTGCGTTCGAGTCGATGCGCCTCATCGAGGCTCACTTCGGCATCGACGTGGCAACGCCGCCGGATGAATTGAAGAGCTTGTACGACTCCATCTTCGACAAGTTTGACGGCGACAACAGCGGCGCCGTTGACCGCAACGAGTTCCGATCGGAGATGAAGAAGATCATGCTGGCTATCGCAGATGGGTTGGGCTCCTTCCCCATTCAGATGGTCCTCGAAGACGATCCCAATAGCCTCCTCCAGAAAGCTGCAGATCTAGAAGCTTCCAAGACCGCCGCCACCTGAAACGACACCGGTTTTGGTACCTTTTGTCTTGGTATTTGTGTATTATTAGCTTTCTTGATTTTGGGTTTCCGTTGGGGGAGCACTGTTTCTGAATAAAACTGTTAAACTAAGATTGTGTGTACAGGTAACACTCTCCACTAGTTATGAAATTTAAAAACGTATAAATATATGTTTAATCTTATAAATATTTATGAATTAACTTTTATATCTTGTTTTGATTTTTTCTATACTAGTTTATTATTATATTTTTGTGTTTTTATTATACTGTAGTACAAATTATTGTTTATTTTTTATATTTTTAATTAAAGATTAGAATATATATCAAAATATTATTAAATAAAAATCAAAATATTAATTTTTAAATACAAAATTATTTTTTAAATAATATTAATTAAAAATATTATATTCTTATAATAATTTTTAAATATTTAAATAAAGACATACAATAAAAATTTATACATCATATTTTATTAAAATTATAAAATTTAATCATTAATATATCTAAATTTTATAATTTTTAATAAGAGCCTGTTATTTATAATATGTTGTTGAACATATATTAAAAAATTATTGTTATAAATATGATTCAACATAATTTTAGTCTTTTATAAATTTGATTTTATGAAAAAAATTTGTAATTCATGTAATCTTACTTTTTATAATTTCAGTTTTATGAAAAAAATAGTTATTATTATTTGAGGTAGAACTATCTTCTATTTAATAATTTCAGGGTAATTAATATTAATATATATATATATATTGATAATTTTAATAAATTATTATTCATAATAAATTAGATTTAAGTGTAGTAGTGAAAATTGTTTAAGCATTGGTAAGTTCAGATAGTAGTGTCGATAGTAAGTTCATAAGAATTGCAATAAATTCGTTAGTCAAGTAGAGTATTTTCATCCCGTAAAAATTTAAATTATTAGAATGACTAATTTATTAAGAATTATGAGTAGATTAAACTTAGGAGGTAATAATTAAATAATAAAAAGAGAAATGTTTGAGAATGGAGCTTCAACATCAGATACATACTGAAATAAATTACAATAGATGAAATAGAAAAATCTTTACATAGGTCAATACCAGTTGTTTAAGAAAAAAATGTTTATAAAACATAATCATTATGGTCTTTTAATAAACATAAAAAAATTCATAAGATTGAGTATTCATATCCAGGTACTCAAAATAGAAAAGAAATTCAATTACTAAAAGATCAATTAATTCAAAAATTTAAAAGAGATGGATTTAATTTTATTCATTTAGGATTAATATAATTAGTAGTAAAACTAAATTATAGCTAAATTATAGAATAGGTGTAGATCTACTTGTTCTAATATTACTAAGAGATATGAAATTATTAAAAATTAAAGACTCAATAATAGCTGCTTTAGAAACAAATCTGCAAGATGGACTTGCTTTCTTTAATTATTTTCCTAATTTCGCTATGAGTTTAACAAATGAAAATACACCAAAAACTGTTAAAATATTTATAATATCATAAGATAATATAGTAAACAGTTCATATGATCCTTTCCATTTAATATATAGAGTTTATTATAAGATTACAAAAGTAAATTATGGATTTCAGGCTAGGAGAAAAACTCCTAAAAATGAAACTATTATATAAGCTAATCTAGGAAAAAGTATAGTACAACTAAGATATGACGAATTAACCATTCCAGAAGAATGGATTTTTGAAGAAAATAGAGAATTTAAAAAATTTATAATATTGAAATAAGAGATATCATAGAAGAAACAAATGAAAAAATAAGATTAAGAATGAATAGATCTTCTATTAGAATACAAAATTTCTGTATAATAAAAGAACCCTTAGGACATTCAATAAACAATTCTACAATAAATTTAGATTTTAGAGGAATAGATAATACAACTAGATCAGGAATTTCAATCCCAATATATGAACCAACAACATCTCAGGTTTTAAATTATATTTTAGAGGAGGAAAATTATAGTCCCACAACATCTCAAGTTTTAAATACCTTAACAAGAAAAGAACCTTTTATAATTGATAAAAAAAATGGATTAAAAATAAAATAGATGCAAAATACAATAAAGAATTAAAAGAATGGTTCTTTTCAAAATTTTCAGAAAATAAATGAACAAAATTAAGAGAAAAATTTTATGAACATCTAAAATAAAAAGGAATAAATATAATATTTTCCATGATTAAAATAATATTATTTTAAAAAATAGAATATCCTAATTTTAAACAAATAAATATTTTAAATAAAATAACAGTACCTTGGAAAACTACATAAAAAAATAATAGAATCAGAATACCCTCAATTAGAACAAATTAAAATTAAAATAGAAAATGAAGAAGTGAAAGCTAGCTCTTATAAAAAGATAAACCCTTTAGACAAAATTATTGATAAAAATTATATAAATAAAATACATCAATAGTTAAATTATTTTAATACAGTATTAGAAGTTATGACTAAATAAATAACTAGAATTAAAAATAAACAAACAAATGCAAGTACTAGTCTTAAGAAACTAAGCTATTTAGACAAATCTATGTACAAATTAACTATTTTATCTCTAGGAACTATAAAAGAATTTGAAAAGAAAAAGAGAATAGAATTAGATATAAAAGAATTAAAAGAAAGAGTAGCAAAATTAAGTATAGAAAAATATACTATAAATGCTATAGAAACATTTATAGAATTAAATAAAATAAAATTTAATAGATATAATCAGCCAAAAATAAGACATTATTATAACAGACCAACTTTACTAGATGTTTTATTAGCAGAGACCTAATTTAGTACAAAATTCATATGAAGAAAATGATATAGTAGAATGAAATCTAGATGGTTTAAGTGAACAAGCAATATTGGATTTAACACAACAAATGATTATGGCAGCAACTTTATACAAACTTAAAAAAATTATCAGATAAAGTAGCCACTAAAACTCTTGTTTAGGGATTTACTGGACAACTGAGAGGATGGTGGGATCATTATGTGACTTTTCCAGATAAAGAATTTATATTATCACATATTAAACAAAAAAATAATGAACAAGATGCTGTAGTTACCCTTATATATTTCATAATACAAAATTTCATAGGAGATCAAACATTATTTAAAGAAAGAATAGGAATCCAATTGGCTAACTTAAGATGTGCCACAATGACAAATTATATATGGTATAAAGATATGTTTTTATCTAAAGTAATGTTAAGAGAAGATGCAGCAGCACCTTATTAGAAAGAAAGATTCATAGCTGTTTTACTAACTCTTTTCTCAAGAAAAGTAATAGAAAACTTAGAAGTAAGATGTGAAGGAAAAATGAATTATGAAACTCTGACCTTTGGACAAATACATAATATCATAGTAGATACTGGGTTAAGGGTATATAATGATACAAAACTACAAAGTCAATTAAGAAAAGAAAAACTAACAGATAGAAAAGAATTAGGAACTTTCTGTGATCAATATGGAATAGAATTTGTACATGCCCCTAGTAGAAAATATAAAAAACAAATAGAAAGACAAGCTAAGTCTCAAAATGTTCCCAAATACAGAAAAAGAAAGTTTGATAAAAATCAGAATATCAAAAAAATCAAAATATTAAGTCAAAAAGAAATTATAAAAATAAATTTAAAGGAACATGTTGGAAATGTAGAAAAATATGTCATAAAGCAGATCAATGTAAAGTAGAAAAGAAAATTAATTCATTAGAAAATGAATAATTAAAACAAGTATTAAATTCAATCCTAGTAAATTCAAAACCAGAGGAGTCTGATAATGAAAACTCTAATGAAGAAAATAGCATAGAAAATGAAATCTATTAGTTGGATGACACTTCTGATGAATCAGAGTTAGAAGAAAATTATTATTTAGGACCAGGATTATGTAATTGTCAAGATTGTATGAAACCACAATTAAATGTAATATCAAATTATGAGAGACAAACTTTAATAACTCTCATTGAAGAACTAGGAGAAGGTCTTCTTAGAAATGAATTTATTAAAAAAAACTCAATGATTTGGTTACTAAAGAAGAAGAAAAACCTATAAAAATAAAACCAATAGAAATGAAAGATGTATATGAAAAATTTAAACAACCAAGTACCAATATTAACATAAAAGATTTACAAAAAGAAATAAAAATTTTAAAAAGAGAAGTAAATGAGTTAAAACAAAATCAAATAGTATTAGAATTTAAATTACTAGAATTAGAAGGAAAAGAAATATTAAAAGAACAAACTAATAAAAACCCAGACAAAAAAGAACCAGAAATATTCAATATGGAATTACTATATTTAATGATGACACATAAATGGTGGTGTGAAATTATTTTAATAGTAAAAATAAAAAAATTTAATATGATAGCCTTAATAGATTCGGGGGCAGACATAAATTGTATACAAAAAGGATTAAAACCAACCAGATATTATGAAAAAAAACTGAAAAGTTATCTTCAGCAAATGGATCAAAAATGCATATACAATATAAATTGTCAAAAGCAAAAATTTGTAAAAATAAAATATGTTTTACAACTTCATTTGTATTAGTTAAAAATATGACTAATCAAATGATTCTAGGAACACCTTTTTTTAACATTATTATATCTTTATAATATAAGTAATGAAGGAATTATAAGTAATGTAATAGAAGGAAAAATTATAGAATTTAAATTCCTACAATCTGTCACGACCCCTTTTATAAGGAACCGAGAACATTGTTTCTACATCACAAACTTATTTAAAATAAATAAAGTATAGAGAATATAAGTATGAAATTCTCTTCTCATTCAAAATAAAACAGAGTTTCCTACAACAAATATCCAATAAAACAACACAATATTACATTTAGTTCATAATATTCAAAATACCTAAAATTCTACTACGTAGCTCCCTCTACATGAGGTCTCAAAATATAAGGAAAAAAGGACTTTGATGCAGTATTACTTGACCCCAGCTTCTAACATTTCTTCACTGGCCCCTCAGCCTGTGAAGTAGATACAACACCTGCTACATCTGCTAACGTACCACCATACGATTATCGCAGTACACACGCATACAACGACATAAAAAGAAATGCAAGGGTGAGCTTACAAAAATAAAATAAAATCATGTATATAGAGCAAAATATTTCTCACAGCAATAATTCCATTCATTTCCAGCCTATCTAATGCACAGCATGAAAACGGTTTTCAACCGGGAGCGACCTATTCCGGTATCTGGATCCAGAAAGCACAGCACAACAGCTCAGCATGAACTTACCGTTACACGTCTACCCACTTAAACATGTAACTCGGTTCTATAATGATGCAAAACATATATCTCGGCATGATGCACATCGCCAAAATTATTTTAACAGCTCAGCTAAGGCAAGTTTAAGATAGATTGGCCAAAATTTCGGCATTTTAAATCAATTAACGGCAATTACAACTTAGAAAATAGCTTTTATTCAAAAGATCTAACAAAATCATATCAAAACATCTTGAAATAGCATATTAAACCGTTCAAAACGTAGTTCATAGGTTAAAGTAAACTCCCCTTACCTCAGAAAGATGATTCACACTAGATCTACTGAATATTACTTGTTTTAATGCAAGATTCACTGAAGATTCGGCTTTAGAACAGAGTTTCTCCTAAGAACACCATGAACTTCTATGAGAAAGAGAAGGAGAAGAGAAACGAACAGTAAATCTAGCTTCAAACTTAAAGAAACTTACTTCAAATTCTTCAGAATAGACTAGAATCTCAGATTTGGCGAGAAATTTAAGTTTATGAGGGTTTAGTATGAGAGAAAATGGTAGTATACGGCCTTAGAACCTTTGAGAACCTTGGATAGGGGTGAAGAAATGAAAATTTCGTGTGAAGCTCCCTTTTTATAAAATTTTTTGAAATTTACTGTTCACCGACGGAATTTATTGTTCATCACCGGAAACACTGTTCACCGCCTTACTGTTCACGCCGGAAATACTATTCAGGGCACTATTCACACCGAAAAATACTGTGCACCCGTACTACTTATTTCTGGCGGTGAACAATAAATTTCAAAAATTTTCTATAAAAAGGAGACTTTACACGAAATTTTCATTTCTTCATTCCTCTTCAAGGTTCTCAAAGGTTCTAAGGCCGTATACTACTATTTTCTCTTATGCTAAACCCTCAAAAACTTAAATTTCTCGCCAGATCTGAGATTCTACGTCTATTCTGAAGGATTTGAAGTACGTTTCTTTAAGTTTGAAGCTAGATTTACCGTTCGTTTCTCTTCTCCTCCTCTTTCTCATAGAAGTTCATGGTGTTCTTAGGAGAAATTTCGTTCTAAAGCCGAATCTTCGGTGAATCTTGTATTAAAACAAGTAATATTCGGTAGATCTAGTGTGAATCATCTTTCTGAGATAAGGAAAGTTTACTTTAACCTATGAACTACGTTTTGAACGGTTTAATATGCTATTTCAAGATGTTTTGATATGATTTTGTTAGATCTTTTGAATAAAAGCTATTTTCTAAGCTGTAACTGCTGTTAATTGATTTAAAATGCTGAGATTTTGGCTGATCTATTATAAACTTGCTTTAGTTGAGCTGTTAAAATAACTTTGGCGGTGCGCATCATGCTGAGATATATATTTTGCATCATTATAGAGCCGAGTTATATGTTTAGGTGGGTAGACATGTAACGGTAAGTTCATGCTGAGCTGCTGTGCTGTCTGGATCCAGATACCGAAATGGGTCGCTCCTGGACTAGCTCGGTTCCTTCTAGATTACTTAGGCTGTGAAACCAGTTGGAAACCGTTTTCATGCTGTGCATTAGATGGGCTGGAAATGCATGGGGCTATTGCTGTGAGAAAGATTTTGCTCTATATATATGATTTTATTTTATTTTTGTAAGCTCACCCTTGCATCTCTTTCTATGTCGTTGTGTGCGTGTGTACTGCGATGATCGTACGGTGGTACGTGAGCAGATGTAGCAGGTGTTGCATCTACTTCACAAGCTGAGGGGCCAGTGAAGAAATGATTGAAGCTGGGGTCGAGTAATATTGCATCAAAGTCTTTTTTCCTTATATTTTGAGACCTCATGTAGAGGGAGCTACGTAGTATAATTTTGGGTATTTTGAATATTATGAACTAAATGTAATATTATGTTATTATGTTAGATATTTGTTATAAGAAACTTTGTTTTATTTTAATTGAGAAGAGAATTTCATACTTATATTCTCTAATATTTATTTATCTTAAATAAGTATGTAATGTACAAACAATGTTCTCGGTTCCTTACAAAAAGGGGTCGTGACATTTTAGTGGTATCAGAGCATGGTCTAGGTAAACCTACGGGATGAGGTTGTTAGGCGTCAATTATGCATATTAGACATGTGAGTTTTAGCTATGAATCATATATCATGATTTCTATTCATCAAGTTATGAGGGAACGAGCTTGATCACCTCAGTTCTTAGACATGACTGATGTAGGAAACTTGGTATATGATACTAGGGTGAGCTATAGGCGATTCATGCTGCGTGAAGAAAAGGTTGTTAAGCTAAGCTGTAAATGATTGCTGAGATAAGTGTGTTTGCTATGCTGTGTGAATGTTGATATGATGTTATCCTCAGTGCTAAACTGATTAAATTGTTATGATGAATATGTGAATATAGTTATGTGATGGTATTGCTGAATGTATTAAACGTTAGTAAACTAAGCTAGTCTATACATTAGGATGGCTAGACCGAGAAGATATGCTACAAACCCTCCTCCTCCTGCTGACGTGAACCAAATGGCTCACGCCATGGAGGCCATGGCAGCCACTGTTAGGCAGAGTCTAGATATGATTCAACAGCAGCAAGCTGCAAACCAAGCCGCTGCTGCAGCAGCAGCTATTGCCTCAGCTGCACCTCCTCTTGAATACCATGGTTTGTCAGAGTTCATGAAGAATGATCCTCCTCAATTCACGGGAGTGGATGGACCAGATGCTGCTGAACTCTGGATTAGGGAGATTGAGAAGATCTTCCTAACTATGAGTTACGCCGAGGAGAGGAAGGTGTTATATGCTACTTATATGCTGATAGGGGATGCAGAGATGTGGTGGCACGGAGCTCGTGCTATGCTGGAGGCCCGAGGTGAAGTCATCACTTGGGCTGTATTTAGAAGTAGCTTTCTGGGAAAGTTTTTCCCTTCTCATGTTTGTGCTACCAAAGAGCAGGAGTTTCTGAACTTCGTACAAGGAAACTCATCAGTCTATGAGTATGTAATACAGTTTGAGCGGCTTTACAGATTTTATTCTCACCCAACCTCGGAGGAGTGGAGATGTCAGAGGTTTTCAGACGGGCTGAGAACTGACATAAAGAGGATTTTGATTCCACTCAGGATCACTGAATTTGCTGACTTGGTGGATCAAGCCACCATTATAGAGAGTCTTAATGCAGAGGATGTTGGTGGAGTTGGGAAGGCTCCATCTAGTATAGCTGCTAGTAGCTATGGTAACGGAAGTAAGGGTGCTAAGAAGGCCCCCTATAGTCGGTCGCTACGCCAACAGCAATCTCGACCACCAATAGGGACTGCTACTTCTGCATTTCAGCCTAGGGGAGCAACTTCTTCTCCTCCTAAAGCCTCAGTGCCACATATTGTCAGATGTTTCAGATGTGGTGGGCCATACTAACTCAGCCAGTGCCCACAGACTGATGTCAGAGTTTGCTTCTCATGTCAGCAGCCAGGGCATCTTGTTAGGGACTGTCCTACGCCTAGTGGGGCAGTTTCGTCTTCTGCTAGCGCCTTGCACGCTGTGAGACCTAAAGCGACTAGAGCTCCGACGAGAATTAGATCGAGAGCAGAGGGACGTGTATTCACTACTTCTGTATCAGAGGCAGCCTAGGCGACAGATCTCGTTCAGGGGACAGCGGTAGTGGCAGGTACTTCTCTTTCTGTATTGTTTGATTCTGGAGCCACGCACTCTTTTATTGCGGACATTTGTGTGAGAAACTTAGGGTTATCGTTGAGTGATCTAGGATGTGAATTGGTAGTATCGACACCTACTTTAAAGTTCGATTAAGACTTCAACGGTTTGTGTTAGGTGCCCCATAGTAATTGAGGGACAAAAGTACAAAGTAAATCTTATTTGTATCCCGATGTCAGGGTTAGATGTAATCTTGGGTATGGATTGGCTAGCTGCCAATCGTGTGCTAATTGATTGTGGCCGGAGGTGTTTTAGTCTTTCCTGAGCAGTAAGGCTGTGTAGAATTGATTTCTACTCGCCAAGTAGAAACATCCTTAGGTGAGGGAGTATCTTGTTTTGTTTTGTTGGGACTTATGAATGCAGAAGTGGAGCAAAGCCTTCAGTCAATACTAGTAGTATAAGAGTTCCCTGAGATTTTTCCAGAGGATATTCCTAGAATACCTCCACGTAGAGAGGTGGAGTTTTCTATAGATTTGATTCCTGGAGCTGAGCCAGTGTCTGTAGAACCTTACAGAATGGCGCCGAAAGAGTTGATGAAGCTTAAGGAGAAGATCGAGGATCTAATGCAGAAACAGATGATTAGGCCGAGTGTATCACCTTGGGGAGCACCAGTTCTCTTAGTGAAAAAGAAGGACGGCAGTTCTAGATTATGTGTTGATTATCACAAGTTAAATAAGTTGACAATTAAGAATAAGTATCCGTTGCCGCGAATCGATGATTTGATGGACCAGCTGAGAGGTGCTAAGGTATTCTCTAAGATTGATTTGAAGTCTGGGTACCATCAGATCCGAGTGAAGGATGAAGATATTCCTAAGACTGCTTTTCGCACTAGATATGGCCACTATGAATATATAGTGATGCCTTTTAGAGTCACAAATACTCCAGCTGTGTTTATGGACTACATGAATCGGATCTTTAGACCTTTCCTGGATCAATTTGTGGTAGTCTTTAGACCTTTCCTAACATCCTTAGGTGAGGGAGTATCTCACCTAAGGATGTTTCTACCTGGCGAGTAGAAATTAATTCCACACAGCCTGGCGAGAAGTACTTGCCACTACCGCTGTCCCCTGAACGAGATCTGTCGCCTGGGCTGCCTTTGATGCAGAAGTAGTGAATACACGTCCCTCTGCTCTCGATCTAATTCTCGTCGGAGCTCTAGTCGCTTTAGGTCTCACAGCGTGCAAGGCACTAGCAGAAGACGAAACTGCCCCACTAGGCGTAGGACAGTCCCTAGCAAGATGCCTTGGCTGCTAACATGAGAAGCAAACTGTAACATCAGTTTGTGGGCACTGGCTCAGATAGTGTGGCCCACCAAATCTGAAACATCTGACAATCTGCAGCACTGAGGCTTTAGGAGGAGAAGAAGTTGCTCCCCTAGGCTGAAATGCAGAAGTAGCGGTCCCTATTGGCACCGGGGCTGATGCTGCCAATCCTTTCGACTGAGATGGTCGAGACTACTGTTGGCGTAGCGACCGACTGTAAGGGCCCTTCTTAACACCCTTACTTCCATTACCATAGCTACTAGCAGCTCTACTAGATGGAGTCTTCCCAACTCCACCAACATCCTCTGCATTAAGACTCTCTATAATGGTGGCTTGATCCACCAAGTTAGCAAATTCCGTGATCCTAAGTGGGATCAAAATCCTCTTTATGTCAGTTCTCAGCCCGTCTAAAAACCTTTGACATCTCCACTCCTCCGAGGTTGGGTGAGCATAAAATCTGTAAAGTCGCTCAAACTGTATTGCATACTCATAGGTTGATGAGTTTCCTTGCACCAAGTTTAGAAACTCCCGCTCTTTGGCAGCACGAACATGGGAAGGGAAAAACTTTCCCAGAAAACTACTTCTAAGTACAGCCCAAGTGATGACTTCACCTCGGGCCTCCAGCATAGCACGAGCTCCGTGCCACCACATCTCTGCATCCCCTGTCAGCATATAAGTAGCATATAACACCTTTCTCTCCTCGACGCAACCCATAGTTAGGAAGATCTTCTCAATCTCCCTGATCCAGAGCTCAGCAGCATCTGGTCCATCCACCCCCGAGAATTGAGGAGGATCATTCTTCCTGAACTATGACAACCCATGGTATTCAGGAGGAGGTGCAGCTGAGGCAGTAGCTGCTGCTGCCTGTGCTACAGCAGTGCCTTGGTTTGCAGCTTGCTGCTGTTGAATCATATCTAGACTCTGCCTAACAGTGGCTGCCATGGCCTCCATGGCGTGAGCCATTTGGTTCACGTCAGCAGGAGGAGGAGGGTTTGTAGCATATCTTCTCGGTCTAGCCATCCTAATGTATAGACTAGCTTAGTTTACTAACGTTTAATACATTCAGCAATACCATCACATAACTATATTCACATATTCAGCTTACAGTGATATATTCATATTTAGTATATCATAACAATTTAATCAGTTTAGCACTGAGGATAACATCATATCAGCATTCACACAGCATAGCAAACACACTTATCTCAGCAATCATTTACAACTTAGTTCAACAGCCTCTTATTCACACAGTATGACTCACTTATAGCTCACCCAAGTATCATATACCAAGTTTCTTACATAAGTCATGTCTGAGAACTGAGATGATCAAGCTCGTTCCCTCACAACTTGATGAATAGAAATCATGATATATGATTCACAGCTGAAATTCACATGTCTAATATGCACAACTGACGTCTAACAACCTCACCCCGTAGGTTTACCTAGACCATGCTCTGATACCACTAAAATGTCACGACCCTTTTTTGTAAGGAACCGAGAACATTGTTTGTACATCACATACTTATTTAAGATAAATAAATAATAGAAAATATAAGTATGAAATTCTCTTCTCAATTAAAATAAAACAAAGTTTCTTACAACAAATATTCAATAGAACAACATAATATTACATTTAGTTTATAATATTCAAAATACCCAAAATTATACTACGTAGCTCCGTCTACATGAGGTCTCAAAATATAAGGAAAAAGGACTTTGATGCAATATTACTCGACCCCAGCTTCAATCATTTCTTCACTGGCCCCTCAGCCTGTGAAGTAGATGCAACACCTGCTACATCTGCTCACGTACCACCGTACGATCATCGCAGTACACACACACACAACGACATAGAAAGAAATGCAAGGGTGAGCTTACAAAAATAAATTAAATCATGTATATAGAGCAAAATATTTCTCACAGAAATAATCTCATGCATTTTCAGCCCATCTAATGCACAGCATGAAAACAGTTTCCAACTGGGAGCGACCTATTCAGGTATCTGGATCCAGATAGCACAGCACAGCAGCTCAGCATGAACTTACTGTTACACGTTTACCCACCTAAACATGTAACTCAGCTCTATAATGATGCAAAACATATATCTCAGCATGATGCACACTGCTAAAATTATTTTAATAGCTCAGTTAAGGCGAGTTTAAGATAGATCAGCCAAAATCTCAGCATTTTAAATCAATTAACAGCAGTTACAGCTTAGAAAATAGCTTTTATTCAATAGATCTAACAAAATCATATTAAAACATCTTGAAATAGCATATTAAACCGTTCAAAACGTAGTTCATAGGTTAAAGTAAACTCCCCTTACCTCAGAAAGATGATTCACACTAGATCTACCGAATATTACTTGTTTTAATGCAAGATTCACCGAAGATTCGGCTTTAGAACGAAGTTTCTCCTAAGAACACCATGAACTTCTATGAGAAAGAGAAGGAGAAGAGAAACGAACGGTAAATCTAGCTTCAAACTTAAAGAAACTTACTTCAAATCCTTCAGAATAGACGTAGAATCTCAGATCTGGCGAGAAATTTAAGTTTATGAGGGTTTAGTATGAGAGAAAATGGTGGTATTTGGCCTTAGAACCTTTGAGAACCTTGGATAGGGGTGAAGAAATAAAAATTTCGTGTGAAGCCCCCTTTTTATAGAAAATTTTCAAAAATTACTGTTCACCGCCGAAATTTACTGTTCATCGCCAGAAATACTGTTCACCGTCTTACTATTCACGCCGGAAAATACTGTGCACGCGTACTGCACGCTTATGTGACGTCAGCCATGACGACCTAATGATGTCACTGATGACGTCAGCAGTCATTGTACATACGCGGTTTTTACTGTTCATACACGGTTTGTACTGTTCATACGCAGTTTGTACGCGGATTTACTGTTCACAGATGGTTTTACTGTTCATTCGACACTGTTCATACTGTACTGTTCACTTTTTTTTTAAAAATAATTTCAAACTCCATCTAAATCTATTCCAGTACCATATAATCCTTCAATTAACATTGAACAAGTATAAAATATTATAGATTAGTAAATAATAAATCACTAGTCTGACACAATCTCCTAGAATTAGAGAACTAAATTTATTACAAGAAGCCTCTATATCAAAAATAAATTTAATAGAACGAAGGAAAAGTCAAATTAAAATGATAAATGAAGAGATAAGATATAAAAAAATAGAACAACAATTAAAAACTCCAAAGGTCCAAAATATTATAAAAAAATTTGAACAAAAAATAGAAAAAGAAATATGTGATACTAATCCAATAGCTTTTCATTCAAGGAAAAAATATGAAATCAATTTACCATATGAAGATAACTTTAATGAAAAAGATATACCCACTAAAGCTAGACTTATACAAATGAATAAAGAATAATTAAAATATTGTAAAAAAAAATTAGAAGAATATTTACAAAAGGGTTTAATAAGACCATAAAATCTTCTTGGAGTTATACTTGATTTTATGTAAATAAGGCTTTAGAGCAAGAACGAGGTGCTCCAAGATTGGTTATAAATTATAAACCATTAAATAAAGTCTTAAAATGGATAAGGTATCTAATTCCTAATAAACAAAATTTAATTAAAAGATTAACAAGTGCTAAAATATTTTTAAAATTTAACATAAAATCAGAATATTATCAGATTTTAGTAAAAGAAGAAGATAGATACAAAACCGCTTTTGTAGTACCCTCTGGACATTATGAATGGAATGTGATGCCCTAACGATTAAAAAATGCTCCTAGTGAGTTTCAAGAAATTATGAATAATATATTTTATCCATATATGAAATTTTCAATAGTATACTTAGATGATGTATTAATATTTTCAAAAGGAATACAACAACACATCCAACACTTGAATAAATTTATAGAATTAATAAAAGAAAATGGACTAGTAGTTTCAGCTAAGAAAATGAAAATATTTCAAGAAAAAAAAATATTTTTAGGGTTTGAAATATATTAGGGATCAATAACATCAATACAAAGATCTTCAGAATTTATTGAAAATTTTCCAGACCAAATAAGAAAAAAAACACAATTATAGAGATTTTTAGGGTGCCTAAATTATGTAGTAGATTTTATTCCAAATATTAGAACAATATGTGCTCCTTTATACAAAAGGCTAAGGAAAAATCCTCCACCCTGGAACGAAGAGATGACTAATACAATCAAAAGGGTAAAAGAAACTGTAAAAACTCTTCTATGCTTAGGTATTGCCCATCCTGATGCAGCCTTAATTGTAGAAACAAGAGAAAAGAAGGAACAAGTGGTGAGATATCATTCGAGAATCTAGCATCAAAAGAAATTTTATCTATAGTGTTATGTTTACAAAAATTTCAAGATGATTTGTTTAATAAAAAGTTTTTGATAAAAATTGATTGCAAAGCCACTCCATAAGTTTTACAAAAGGATGTTAAAAATCTAGTTTCAAAACATATTTTTGCTAGATGGCAAGCATTATTATCTAATTTTGACTTTGAAATTGAACATATAAGGGGGAATAAAAATTGTCTACCCGATTATCTTACCAGAGAATTTTTACAAGAAAATGTCAAAAATGACTAGTGCTAGTTATGAATTACCAAAAAAGCAAGAACCTAATCCCCCACCAACTCCCTCAAAACCTGATAAAGGAAAGAAAGTTATGACTACATTACAAGCTTTACAAAAAGCTCCTCCACAAAAACCAATTACCCCTTCTGAGGTCACTAATAACAAGTTTCAGGTACTATCTTCCCATAATTCTATTAAAAGAGATCCCTTAGAACCTGAAAAACACTATCATGAAAAAGATGGTTGTCTTCCCATTCTATCAATAAAGCTAGAATTGTTTTCATTACCCTGAAATGAAATAGCTAAAAGAATCTTTCCCAAAGATTGTCATTATATCTCACCGTCTTCACAACAAAGGCGAGAATATTATGAGCTAATTCTAGTAGACGCACAGTCTATAGAATTAACACATCCTAGAGATACAAAAACACAAGAAATTGTGTTTTCAAAATTCAAAATATTATAGGTATTGAGAATACAAGAATGGGGACAATCTCTTTATCAATACAAGAAATTTACAATAGATTATCAGCCCAAATAATATAACTATTTTGATTATATTCAAGCTTGGAGAAATATGTTATTTCTTATACCAGAGAATCATTCATGGTTCATTTGGTTTAAAAAAGGAATTTCTTTAAAATTTTCAAAATGGTTTCATCATTGGTGGACGAATTTTGGAGCAGAAGTATGTATATTTCTAGAAATTGCCAAGAAGAGTATTACAATACTTTGATACTACTACTAATTTTCTTCTAGAATATAAACTTTTATCCTTTACTGCTAGTTTTGGAGTAACATGAATTATGATGTAACAATGTGATTCAGCAAAACTTCATGAACATCATAGTATTCAAGGATTATCAAGAGTTGTCAAGATAAAATGGTGGCCAAAATTCAATCTTGAATTATTAAGTCGACAAAAAATTGATCAATGGTTAACAGCTCAAGAAAAAATGTAACACCTTAAATTTAATTTCAATAAATAACGAATTTCACAAATTTTTGAAATAATAAAACTTCCATTTGTAATCTAAGTTTCATCAAACATTTCAAATAAAGAAAAGGGGTTACAAAGTACATCAAACAGTTGCTAGAGGAGTTATTCAAATACAATAGTTTTCTAAACTAATATCCTA